GCCGGCCAGGGATTTCTGGATGTTTTCTCTGGCTCTTGCAATGTCTCGAAGGATCACGCTGGCGCCGTTCTCCTGTACAGACAGTGCAGAAGAAACCAGTCTTTTTTTTTTTTTCATTAAAACAATTTTAATTAAAAAAAAAGAGAGAGAGAGAAACCCTCCTATGGAAAGCAAGCGAGCAAGCAAGAGCTGTACAGAGTGAAAGCTCAGCGGGACGGCAAGGAGCGCAAGGAGCTTGAGTCTGCCAGTCTTGTAGCCGTGACAACAGGGCCTGAGGGACACCCAGTCTGCAGGCCCAACCCAGGCCCACACCATCCTGATGGGCACCAGCGTGCCCACTGGTCTGAGGTGGTGGAAGTGAACAGTCTGCCCCGTGCCATCGCGTGAGCAGATCCAGAACCCCAGGAGCCATCTGGGGCCACACCTCCAAAGACCCCACCACCAGCACCTGGAGCAGAGCCACCTGGGCCCAACATGCCTCTGCCCTCCCGATGCTGGCACAGTCCCCCAGTGCTCCGAGTACATCCCTACCTGGCGCGAGGAGCCAGCCACAGGCCCGTTCATCTGCTCATAGAATTTTCTTTCTGCATCGTCATATTTGAACTTGTCAAACCAGATCTTCTCGTGCACTAGGAAGTTTGTAGCCATTTTCCTGACCTGCCAAGGACGCCGCGACCAAGGAGGAGGGCTCGTGGCGCGGGACGGCTGGGGAAAGGAAAAGGCGGCCAGGCCGCGCACGGGAAATGAAGCAGCGGGATGTACCACGCGCCGCGGACAGCGCACGCAGGGGAGGCGGCTCCCGCGCACGGCCCGCCTCGCCGCCAGAGCCCTCTGCGCGACGCGACACTCCCCGCGGCCGCAAAGACGGAAGGCAGTGGGAGACCACCACGGGGCTCGCTGCGTCCCCACGGGGCCGAAACGGGCAGCCGGGAACAGGACCGCAGCTCGCCCACCCCCCTCCGCTGCCGGCGCAGTGGACTCGTCGGGCTGGGGCGGGGCG